CTGCAAACATTACGCTGCTCGACGTGTCCAGACAGGCTAAATTGCAAGTATGGATTAACGGAATTCTATTTTCAACGACATTCTTCGTGCCGAATTGTACTGTTTGGAGGTCACCGATGGGTAAGTGGTGTAGGGTTTAAGAGTAATATGCAGGACTTGTTGTACAAGATGAGCGATGCATGCCTTAATCAAACGACATCTCCAATACAATTCATTTAAAGACATTATGTTTCCGATGGTCATCATGGTCCACGCGGTCCATTTGATGTCTGAGGCCTTCATGTGCATGAGTATGGAAATGAAAATCATGAATTATACTTGCAAAGTTTCTTTGCATACAGGTGAAATCGACTTGCAAACATCAGCGCCACTTTCTCGATTTCCAAAAGGACAATCACAGATAGAACTCAGATTCGGTGTTCAGGTCGCGGACAGTAGAACTTGGGTCTGTATTGCTTTTACAAATGCTGACGTATTTCAACGCATCATTTGCTTACGATTTTGTGCCATGTCAGTTTTGCCTTTATTTCCTTTTCAACTGTAGACTGCCTTTTATGTGAACGGCGGATTCGCGTGCAGTTGGTTGGGCGGTTTCCTTGTGTTCAATGAGTCCCGTTTCTGCGGTAAGTCTATTGAGCTTGCAGTCGGGTGATTTGTGTCTTCACGAGCACAACTGTTGGGTCAAACATGCTTTTCTTTGCTCATTTAAGGGATTTGCTGAAAGATGTGCAGTCCGGCCTGAGTATATTTGCCGTGACAATTTCACAGAGCAACACAAGTGCATATAGCACCTTTGGCTGGAGATCGGAAAACGAAAGACTAGTCGTTACTGTTGATTGGACACAGAGCCGTAAATGAACAGCCGGATTGATGAGGCAGGACCACTGTCTTATTTTAGCAGAGAGCTTCTTGAACAACGGCATTTTACTGTGGAGTGATTGAAAATTAAGTTTGAAGCAGAAAGAGCGGCTGTGTAACAGATCCATGCACACATGGTCCACCAGGAGGAATTGAAACCATTGCATTAATTTAGGTGAATCGCCAGCAATGGCGGATTGCAACGGTGAGTTCAAACGCTTGCTTGTTCCACATTT